ATATATAATATATAATATATAATATATAATATATAATATATAATATAATAGATAATAGATAATAGATAGATAATAGATAATAGATAATATAATATAATCTCATTAGCCATATCATACTGTTTGATTTCTGGTATGTATGAGGAAAGGAAAACAAAACCGACACAATTGCCATTTGGGAGGCATGCTGACAGGTAAACAGGAAAATCCATGCCTGTTTTAAAATTGCAGCCTTACTGGCTGATAGGTAGAGTAGGGAGGTCCATGTGTTTTGCTGGGACAGCCTTCACCACTAGAAGGGAGGGGGAGAGGCACCCACCACCTGTTGTTGCTGCCTGCATGATGCTTGTTGCCACCACCACCATCCTCCTCCTCCAGCCCCTGCCCTGTCTCAGGGTTTTCAGTGGTTTCATGCCTTTCTGGAGACAGTCTTGCAGAGGTTCTCATACCCTGGCTTAAGTTGCCATAGGTACTGTCAGTGTACAGAGAAACATTCAAAGTTCAGCAAGGCTGCATGCCAGGTATGATCCCTGTTTTTTATATTAGTGCTGTTCACATTTGAGAAAGTTTCTTGAATATGTAGGGAATGCTTGCAGATTCAGATGCCTCCATAAGTTAGTTTCTATTACAAACATACTAGCAGTGTGACTAATACTGTAAACAGCAAGAACATCAAATACACCATAGGTCTATGAGGTATATGAAAAACTTCCCATGGAAAGCAGCCCATGGGCCCTCCCCATTACAGCTGTTGGGATTTTTAAGGTAATGGACTAGTTGTTAGAAAGCTTAGCACTTCTTACCAACACCTCTACCATTAGCTACAGCATCCTCGTTTTAGAGCAGAGGGTACTGTGTTTAACATTTCTGCATGCCTGATTCATGGAAGACACCAGCTCATTAGCTTTCTGCTTTCCGCCTTTCCGTACAACAGCACTCCTGCTGCCCAGGATGCAAAAACCCAACACACCCAAAAGCCATACCTCCACACTGACCCAGAGCTGCCAAGCCTCTGAACAGGAAGCTAACTGCTTCACTGTCCAAGCCTGTTCATTTCAGCATTTGGCAACATCTGCGGAGATCAACAGCAAAGCTACTTTGCTGCCATTAAAATGCAATTCCCAGCAGAACTGAGAACTGCCTTTCACATCTTCTCTTGCATGAGACCTTTTACTAGGACTGTCTTCACTTTCACCTTTTTTGTTTAAATAGGGTCTTGCATCGGTAGCCTTAACTAAAAATTCCCATTCTGCTCCCACAGTTTTTAGCCTGCCCACTGCTTGCTGTTTCACCCCAGAAGCAGTAGCTGAGAACCAGTGACCCTGACCATAAGTAATGCAAATTACTGTTTTGCAAAAATCTGCGGTCTTCAGAATAATTAGTAAATTATTCATAGGAAAGGACCATTAGGGTATAACTGTGTCATTGAACCAAGCCTCTATGCATGGGGGATCTCGTGTGCATTCAGCCATGGCAGGTGTGCAGAGCATCCTTTTGCAAGGTATTTCCCAAAACTCTCTGGCAAGTTTACACTCAGGTGTAAGGACTAACAGCAAGGCTAGAATAGTTTCCCAGGCACCTGCTTGCCAGAGATGTTCAGGAGTGTTTTACCTGGCCCATGAAGCACACAAAACCATTTCTCCTCCTTGCGCTATGTTGACCACTGCTCTGTTTTATTAAGCAGCAGGATGAAATGGTAGCATTTCCAAGGATTTTCACTGTAGTGATCTGAACAGTCTAAGACTTTCAGTTGCCTCCAGTTTAGCAAACAGCAGATACACTGGAAGAAGGAAATGTACACAGGCAGAGACAATTGCAGCCACTTATGCAAATTTGTATTTGGCTAATTCTCTCTGCTAAGACCTAGAGAGTCAACTTAAGAGGAAAAAAAAAGTACTTATAAAGCAAGCTTAAATTCAGCAAAAACCTGGATGTTATTCACTAGAGAAAGATTTCCACTTCCTGTAGGGAGTGGGATTTCCACCTCCAGTTTTTCTATGATTGAATGATTAATTTATCCCACTAACCTTTGTCTAAAGGAGCCAACAGCCACACTTCTGCATGGCTGCAGGGGAGAATGACATCTCCACACAGCCGGTCCCACGTGCTGACAGTTCTGCCAGCCAACCCAAGCCCCGATGACTTCGGCCAACAAATGTGCCACGGGAACGACATGGCAACACCTCGCAGCCAAAAGCACGGCGCGAGGAGGACTGGAGGGGACAACAGGATTTACACCACCGCTCCTCCACCTACTCCACGGCAAGTACTAGGAGATCCTTACCTTTACAGGTCTCCCATGCCTCCTCCAGCGGTTCCTGGTTGGGCTGCCAGCAGGGAGCTGCCCTGCAACAGCCCGAGGGGAGCGGTGGGGCGCGGAGTCAGAGCTGCCTCCCACGGGACAGAGGTGCTTGGATAGGGGCCAGGCACAGCCGAGGAACTACAACTCCCAGGAGGCCCCGCGCCTCTCTGCCCTGCTCCTCCTCGGCTTCCCCCCGACACGCCCTCTGGGGGTTGTAGTTCCAGTGCTGCCCCGCTCGCGCTCCCACCGACACGCTCTTGCTGGGAAGGGAGGCTTTGCGTGGCCGCAAAGGAAACTAACACTCTGAAACCTTTTGAATATTTTTTTTTTAAAACTATATATATATGTGTGTGTGTGTGTGTTTTATATATATGTGTGTGCATTAAAAAACATAGCAAAACTCAGCAAATATTTTTTACTACAGTAAAGGAAAAATGGGAAGTTACTGTACTTCCAATTCTCTTTTTGCTTCTGGTGGAGGTTTGCTTTGCTGTGAAGGGAGAGGGGAAAAAGTGAGGGGAAAAAAGCTCATAAGCAAGTATTGCCAAACAACTTTGCAAAATCAGATGGGAAAAACTTAAATGTTCCCATACACTAATTAGTTAATGACTGGCCTCAAGCCAACAAACGTGCTGATACTTAACCGTATCCTCCACTGAAGTGAATGCAATTGAATCTCATACTCCAGTTGTTCCAGAAACTCAAGGCCTCTAGAAATTATAAGCACAGCTTAGTAATGGTGAGATTTTAAAAGTAATTAAGGGCTTATCCACTTTGGGAGTTGCTGCAGAGTACCTCCACTTGCAGAATTCCCCTTCCCTGTGCTGGACATATATTTCACGCTAACAGTGCTTTATTCTGAATTAGTTTGCCCCATTCAGTTCAAAAGCTACCTTCACCCAAATTGGTGAACTTATGCAAGGTGAGCCTAAACTGCACGTTCTGTTTTTACCTTGCGTTTGAGCCTTTATTTAGCCATCTGTTCCCAAAAGCTGAGCATTTCTTTGGAAAACTAGATATGAAGTTTCTCACACAGTCACTGCTGTCCTGAATTTGGGAGATCAATAGGAACACTAAATGCCACAAGACTGACAAAAAACCCCTTTGGGAGCATGGCCCTATTTGCCTAACTGGGAATGTTTGTTTTTCTAACGTGGAGAGGAAGGCTGTGCAAAGGAGAGAAAGCCTTTCTTTCAGAGTAAAATCTGCTCTTAGTAATTAGCCCTTGTGGGTAGCAAGTATTAACAATACTTCACAGAGAACATAAAATTCATAATCTGTCCAGAGTATAGCCAAAGCTTTAAAGTTTTGCCCAATTTTTATTAATTGCATATGCATAAAAAATGTCAACAATGTTAATGTGCAATGAGCCAGAGAGGTTCTTCCAAGACCACTAGGTATTAAGCCCATGGATACACCAACAGGCCCTCTTTACTTGGGGTGAAGAGGAGGAGGAGAACGAAAGGAGGTCCTAGATAATATGTAGTAATAATACATGAGTGATGCAGAAGGTTTTGGTATGGAGACAGGTGGTACCCATAAAGCTTCTATGCAGCACCACACCACAGCCATCTCTGTGCAGTTGCATGACAATGCAAGAAGACTTCCCAGATGAGGACGATGTGACACAGAGGCAGACACAGAGTCCTGCCAGAATTGCAGAGGAACCACTGCTCTGTGGCTTCTAGCTCTGAGACACAGCCCAGCTCTGCACGAGACTGAAAGGAAGCTGCAGGACTCCTGCGCCCAAGTCAATCCACTGAATGGCTTCTGGACTCCATTTGGCCCAGGGAAGGGTTTAGCTGCTTTGCAGAGCACTACAGCTCATCTTGTACTTCTAGAACAAGCACATGAACAGCATACTTAAGCCATAACTTGGATAAGCCTTCCAGGATAATTGAGATTCTACAGTATGTGACTTTTTAAAGTAAGTTTTCATAGACTTGCTAGAAAAATGTGAGTTTTGACCTAGCACTTTTCATTCCAAGATTTCTGAATAATCTATTTTAATGCAGGTTTAGAAAAGAAAAAGAAGATGGGGGGGGGGGAAGAGTATGTTCCTTTGACTTCAGTTCAAGTCCAAGTGATAGAAGATCTATTAATCACCAGCATGCAATTTATATTAGAACATCAGAACACCTGTATTTAAGCAGACACATAGAAGAGCTGGAATGGATTGCTTCCCAAGATCTTGGTGGCATTAAGAGTGGAGTTATGCTTGCTTTCTTTTTTTGTTTTGAACTTTTGTTTTGTTCTGAACTCTTCTTTTGTTTTGACCGAGACAATATCTCTTACTGAAAAGGAGATGTAAGAGAACTGCTTTTGTGATTATTACTTATTCCAACAGGTATTTTGCTAGTTCCTGACTTGCATAACTACATACACCATGAATAAGTCTATTGAAACTGCTAAAGTCTGTCTAATGTTTTCATCTTCCTATTTCCCAGAACAAAAATGGTCTCAGTCATCTATTATTTGCAAGAGTTCACAGATAATATCAGAATAAAGAGGAAGCGTGGATAATATAGCACAAGACCCTCCTATTGTTTTGTTGGAGTAGGGAAATCCACTGGAGACTAAACTTTCTGTAAACATTGGTCTGATGCTGGCTGCCCTCCTTCCCTCCCTGAGGGGCTGGATGACGTGGGGAACCTCAGCCCACCCCATTCACCTGACTGCCTGTAACTCAGAGCTGAAAGTTGCCATATGTAAGAGCCACAGCAGGATGAACATACTTCTTTTTCCACACGGAAAAGAGAAGCAAAATCCAGGTGCAGATGATTTCCCAATAGCAGAAGGTAGGACAAGAGGAAAAAACATTTAAAGCCAATGGTGCCAGAGCTAAAAAATCCCACTGCCTTTCACAGGGGAGCTGCAACCAGCCTGCAACTCCTCGTGCAGAGGTGAGTCAAGTTTGCAATGCTATGCAGGCTCATACATAGCAAAAGCTTTCCATATTGCTTCCATGTTTTGAAAAAGTCAGAGCTTTCCTCAGCACATTCTCTTAAACACCTAGTAGGCAAGGGAAAAATGGAGGCAGAGCCAAAACAATAACCTTGCAAACTGTTGAGCAGCAAAGCAGAGGTGTTTTCCTTGAACACCTTTCATAGCTGCACCGTGCTTTCCTGGGCACTTGCTGAGGCAGGAGCTGATGCTGCCATCTCACTCTGTCCCCAGCAGTATCCCAGTCTGCCATGCAGCCTCAGCGGATTTGCAGGGTATTTCCACTGGGGTTTGACTGACCACAGGTGAGCAGTGATCAGATGGTAAATACCCAATGTGCACAATACTTCATTTGTAACTTTGAGAAGATGTTAGAGGCTAAAGTAGAGGGAAGTTCATGGAAGAGCAGTTCCTTGTCCTAGGATCCAAGAGTAAGGGTTGTTGTCCCTCCTGTGCCTGGGGAAGGCTCTGCTCTTCTCACCCTTGCCACTTGAGGCAGATGAAATGAAGACATGGACAGAATCTGGGCTGAGGGGGAGGACAGGAGGAGCTGGATCCCGGCGGGCAAACGGCAGAGGCTCCACATTGTTCTTGCCAGCAGATGGAGCAGGGCTGGCATGGGAAGAGTGTGCTGTGGGAGTGGGAGGCCCTCCTGCCTCCATCCCTGCCTGCCTCTCTCCTAGGAGGAGCTTCTTCTACCCTAGATGGATCTCCCCTTTCCTGCAGGAGGTCTTTCTCATTCCCCCTCCTGGCCAGCTGATCCATTCCAAAGGTGTCTCTCGATGAAGGTAAACTTCTTTAGGGCTGCCTCCCTGCATTGATGCCTGCAGAAAGCTGAATCCAGCAATAAGGGCTGATGACTATAAAAGCATCTATCCCTGCTTCTCCACTGGGGTGTGCATGTCCATGCGCTCATGTCCACAGACACTCGCCCTTTTGTTCTCTAGCTGTGGACTACCTTGAGCAGACAGAGACCTTCCACATACCTGTGACCACCCTCCAGTTCTCCTAAACTGGTTCAGTATCATTGTCTCTAGCTGTCAGACGGGTTATTTTCCACTCTTACTTCTGTTTCTGCTGAGTTTAAGCCAGGATCAACATGAAAGATGGATATGTTCATGTCCGGTCAGCAAATTAAACTTAGTGAGCTAAGAATAACCAGATTTCAAAGGTGAAAAAACAGAGATAGAGTGGAAATGGAGAAGAAGTACTATTTTGCTGCTTAGCCCTACACACAGCAATGAAAAAAAACAAATGTAACCCTCCCTCACAACCTCTTGCCTTACAGCCCTTTAACTCCTCCACGGGTAACAGGCCTCCTCATGGTGAAGCTGTTCATGGAATGAGGCAGACCAGGGCATGAGAAGGGACAAGGAGGCTCTGATACCTCCTGGGTGGGCAGCGATCAGTGGGCATTATACTCAGCCAGCTGTAGTGCTACTACTGTGGGCACCGTTCAGTGCAAATGAAAAGATAAGGATAAAACTGTACAGAATAAATACTGTTTGGTTTGCAGAGGGAGACATTTGCAGGTAACTCCAATATTTATGCCACATTCTTCCTGCTTTCGCCTTTTGGTTTTCATTATTCTCCTTTTTGGAGTCAATTCATTCTACTTCCTCAAAAGAGCTGGAATATTTTCTTCTTCTTTTTTTTTTTTTTTGTATTTTTAAAAAGCAGCTCTTTTGTTTATGTCATATATACAATCTTCACCATCATTAAGTAAGACATCACCTGGTGTTATGCCCACAGGGACAAATACAAGCTTTGTAAATAGAAAAGTACATCAGTGTCTTATTTGCTTTATAGTAGACTACACATTTGAAGCCAAAAGGTAGTTGTGTAGTCCTGTTACGTTCCAAAACTGCCATTCTGGTGTCATTTATTTTAGTCTGTTGCAAAATAAAATAGAAATGATTGAAAATCCTAAAGCTCATACCTGAGAAAGGACAGCAAGAAATCAGCACAGATTGTATTCTTTCTTACATTTATTTTAGGGGCAGAAAGAGACCCTGCTGCAGAAAATGCCTTTGACATAGATGTTTGAATGATCTGCTACATAGACAATAAAGAATAACATTTTATAAGCTTTTTATGGGGTATTAAAAATCCGAAGTGGACAAGTTTTCTAATGGGAAAAGCAAACTACTTCAGGAGTTGAACAGAGGCACCATCTGCATCAGAGCAACCCCAGACTAATTGACTGTGAGTGTGCTTGTCTCTGTGTGTGTGTGTATACACGTGTGTGTGTGTTTCAGAGAGACATTCTTTACTTCAGTTCCATTATAATTCCTTTAAATATTTATTACTGGAATGTAAATTCTGCTGAAAACTGAAGTCTTTGCTTTGGAAAAAACAGACCATCACCTACCACGGGTGTTGTCGCTCAGTGCAATAGCCAAGTCCCTTTTGGAGAAACAAAAGGATTCGGTTATATAAACAAGTCAGTGCATTGAATTATAAGACTGGGGGAAAAAAAGAACAAAAACCTGCTGACTTCTGGTTGAACTACTCCTGGGCTATGTGTGAGCTGAAGTTCTGCAGATCTAGCAAGAAGTAGGAGCAATATTAAAATGAATTGGTTACAAATAGTGGAAATAGTCCAGCAAGCACATTTACAATGTGCAGCCCTAAGTATGGCTTTGTTTTCAGATTGGTTTGTCTTTATTTTGAATGTAAAACATTAATAAGCTTCTTAAGGAGAATGGGGATGGGAGAAAACATTGGCTGATCACCTTAAAGCCCAGGAAAATAAAAAAAGTTCTCAAATTGCTGGATGAAATAACAAACTAGAGTGGGTTTATACTTCTTACATTGCTATGAAAGCTTTACTTCTTGATCATTTCCAGACACCAGAAAGTTATTAAAATCCACACAGGGAAAAGAAATTCTACATTTATATGAGCTTTAAAACTTATTTTGGGACTTCAGCTTGTTACCAGTGTAACAGAGAGTAAACCTGTAATGTGAAAAAGCTAGTAAAAAAGAGTAACCAAGGACCAGTCTAGCACTAAAAACACATGGGAAGGGATTTATCAAATAATATCTGGGGTTACACTTTATTCTGGAGGGTCAAAACTGGAACAGACTGGTGTGGATAGTACCAGCGCTTAGGCTCAGATATTTGTATCACTTTAAACCTTACTGTCATTTCAAGGATATAAATAGGCTTGGAAAAATCAGATTATTGGGAGGATTAAATTGGAATCAGTGTCAGTAATAATCTATTCCTTTGTGGTGACACCAACTGAAAGAGGGAAAGTTTGGGGGAGGGGAGTAATGCTACACTGCCGATGGGTTGTGTGGGAATGGGGAATACAAATGAGGGGAAGGAGGGTTAAACAGCACAGCTCTCATGTGGCTGGTAGGCAGGGTAAGCATAAGGACAGAGAAATCCTCCTTAGAAAAAGCATTGGCCAAAGACCCTGCCTCACCAAAAGCTAGTTACAGTGATGGAGTGTCAAAATACAGTAGTCATTCTAGTTTATCAAATTAATACAGTCTGTCTGTGTTCTGTGCTTCCCCACTTCCAGCCCCACCACCCAGCATGCTCAAAGACCCACAAAATCATGGAGGAGTTTTTACCTTATTTCCTTTTTTTTTTTTTTTAAATCACATTGTCTGAATTTTTTCCCTACAGTGTCACTCCCATTATCTCCTAACCGGGCTGGAGAAAACAGCCAGCATGTACCTGACATTCCTGTCTCTGGGGACTCTGGAGTATGCCAGGCAGAGGAACATAGTGTGGTCTCCAAGCACCAGCCCCTCCATCTCAGTTCATGGCACAGCTGGCCCTCACTCAGACAACCACAACTGCAATCCATGCAGGTGTTGCCTACATAAGAGCTAAGCAAGAAGCAGCTGGTCCAGGCTCTTTCACATTGCCCCAAATACATTTCTACAAGTACAATCAAATTTATTCCTCTCTTTTGGATCCAGAATGATTTTGATAGCGGTGATTTTAATTTGGTGACAAATTGGCTGCTGAATTTTCTTTCATCCTGAAACATGAGAGACCAGAGTACAGAAGGTACCTTGTGTTGTTGAGCAAACAAAGCATATTTAGACTTGTTTCCCACCTAGCCTTTTGCAAGAAAGTTAAAGATTAGGTTTTCAGTCAGGAGCTCTGTAAGTGAGATCCTGCTTCCCTGATAAGCCATTTTCTATTTAGTGCTTGCCCCAGGTTCACTCACCAGCAGCTTGTTTAATGGGGCAGGACATCCCTCTAGGAAGGGACTAAGAACCATCATCTGTATCTGTCCAAGGGAGATTTGTCATTGGCAGCTGCTGGTTTTCTGCATGTGCCATAAAACCTACCCTTTTTGTCAGTTTTTCCTTAATGAGAAGAATGAAGAGATAGCAATATGTGCTTACAGCCTAGAAAACCAACTGTATGCTGGGCTGCATCAAAAGCAGCGTGGCCAGCGGGTCAAAGGAGGTGATTCTGCCCATCTTCTCTGCTCTGGTGAGAGCCCACCTGGAAGGCTACATCCAGCTCTGGGGTCCCCAACACAGGAAGGACATTGACCTGCTGGAGCAGGTTCAGAGGAGGACAATTAGAGGTCTGGAGCACCTCACCTGTGAGGAAAAGCTGAGAGAATTCAGGTTGTTCAGCTGGAGAAGAGAAGGCCCCTGGGAGACCTAATAGTGGCCTTCAAGTACCTGATGGGGGCTTATAAGAATGATGGGGACAGACTTTTTAGTAGGGACAGTAGCAACAGGACAAGGGGTAATGGTTTTAAACTAAAGGAGTGTAGATTCAGACTTGATATACACAGGAAATTTTTTACGATGAAGGTGGTGAAACACTGGCACAGGTTGCCCAGAGAGGTGACAAAGGCCCCATCCATGGAAACATTCAAGGTCAGGTTGGATAAGGCTCTGAGTGACCTGATCTAGATGAAGTGACCTGATCTAGATGTCTATGGCAGGGTGGTTGAACTAGATAACGTGTAAACGTCCCTTCCAACACAACCCCTTCCACGATTCTGTGGGAAAGAAGGGTCTCTCACTGGATAGGAGTCTTTCATCCTTCCAGTGACCAGCTGAGTGGATGACGCTGGGATACTGATTGTAGTGCAACTCAGGGCTTTGAGCATGTTTCAACAAATACACCTGACTATCAGCAAGGTAGTGGTGAGAAAAAAAGGAATGCAATGTTTCTTGGAATAAATAACACTTCTAATAACTACCTCACTTATACTGCCCAGTGACAGGAGCAAAAGTGACAGGGTAAGGAATTCCCAGCACTGTTGTCAGTTGCTTTCCCAGAAGTTTACTTTCACTCTGTAATGAATGAACTACTTGATTTTTTTACTGTTTAAGAAGCAAAGGTTGATATTTGGATTTGTGCATTTATAGCTTTGTCTCTTCAGAGGCTGCCTCGCAAAAGCTTCTGGTTCTTTTCACATTTCCCATTGGATTTTTTTTTTTCCTAAATACATACTTAAATTTCTTCCTCTATTTCTTTAAATGCAAAATGCAAGCCTCTGCATCCACAAAAAAGCTCAAGCGCTTTTCTTTTCTTTCTGTCTTTCAGCTCTGCTTCTGCTTTCCATTTATACTTCTGCTCAGTTAATTACTCCCTTATAATTATTTCCCTCTTTATTTACGTGGGCATGTATTTTCCCTGGGAAGCTGCTGCCTGGTCCTTGGGAGTCAGTGTAACCTGACTCCAGCTCTGCTTGTTCTCTGCAAATCTACTGGCGTTAGGGAGCAGCCCTCAGCAATCAAAGGATAGGATCGTTGACTTGCTGGTCACTGGCTGCTGGGTGCCCACTCCCTGTTTGCCTGGTGCACCACAGCATCTGGCAATGAGCTGTCATTCCTGCAGAGCCTGCAGGTGGGCTGTGAGACCAGAAACCTGTGTGGGGGCAAAGCAAGGGGGGCACGAGCAACTTGGGAGGGTGAGGAAAGTGAGGGCATCCCAGCATTGCAGGTTCCATCCCTTCATCTCCCTCAACCACTGCTCTTCTGCTGGGGAAACCAAGCTGGCAGGAATGGCAGTATGTGCTTCAAAGGGCTCCTGCCAAGCACATCACTGCAACTTGTGTAATGGGCTGAAAGTCTTGAGTGAGCAGTGATATATAAAGGAAAAGTCCTAGTGAAACTAGTGATCCTTACAGCTTTTCATTCCTAAAAATTTGAGGGTAAGGAAATTGCTGTTAAGGTAAGCAGGAGATAAATGTTGGTTCACGGCACCTTCTTTATTCAAGCATTTTCGGTGTGTCCCAGGGTTGCTGTCCCATAGGCAGGGCTTACCTTTCTTCTTCATCTCTAAATGGCAGTGCCATTCCTTTCTTCTTCATCTCTAAATCATTTCCAGCTTTCTCCTTGGACATCAATTAAAACCATCAGAACTGATCAAAAAGAAGGAAGAAAAAGTTTTACACAGATGCTTCATTTCAATATCCATATTCAATAACAAGAAGATGTAAAAAACACTGAAAACAAAGATCTGTCCTTGGACTCAATATTTTGATGGAAACAAAGCCTAAACCAGCAGCCTTACACTAGCCTTTGGCTCCAAAATGCCCCAAGTCAATTTATATCTGGCTGATAAAAGGGTAGTTGATTGATTGATTATAGCCAAAGGCTCAGCTCCTAGGAATGGATGTTGCTTAATTTTTTTCTGGGATCTCTTTGATCTCTGCTGGAGGTTGAGGAGCAGACTCCAAATTATGAAGTATTTTTGGAATTATATTGAGACCATTTCACAGAAAAGTCACCTCCGAGTCTCCAAGATTCTCTCTAGAGACACAGGGATGGTGGAAAACTTCTAGCACAACATTTTTATCTGAAAGAAGAGGAATATAGCAGATCTTAAAAGAATGGTAATCCAATCATATTTGGATGAACATTAAGATCTGGATGTAGGACTTGAAGTTTTCTACACATTAAACTAAAAGCACAAGTTTCTATGAGGGTATGTGGAAGCAATAAAAGATTTACAGTTCTCTGTAGATCAGCTAGAGGAGACAGGCATCCTATACATGGCACATGGGAGAAACTCACCTTTTAATTCAGTGTGTTGAATTCCACAGCAGCATTTCTTCCAGGTTAACAACAGGCAACAGCGGTATGGCATCTGCTCCCTACCATTCCCCCTCTACACAGAACCCTCCCTGTCTCCCCATGTACCTTAGGATCCAGAGGGTCTTTCACCTTGTCCTGTCTGCCAGATTTTGGTCATATTTGCTAGGCTGCTGTAGAGCTCCTGCAGCCAGAGCAGTGGCTGAGAGTCTGATAGAATCTGGGGGTCTTCTCATCACAGATAGTGGTCAGCAGGTGAACTCACAGTTCAGTATCTGATAAGTGCTCTGGCAAAGCAAGTCACAGAACAAGGAAACCTCCTTCAGTGTAACTCTAGTAACCTCCTCCATAATAATATAGCAATATGTAAGGCTCCACATTCACTGACTGTTTTTACCTGAGCATTAGAAAATATTAAATAGCATATTTAGGAAAACAAGAGCTTTCAGGTATTCTCTTTGGCATGCAATTGTCAAGGGCAGAGCTGCACATCAAGTTTGTATCTACACTGAAACCTCTACTGACTTAATTAGAATAAAATGAATGAAGTGTAGTCATTATAATCTGCTTTGCAGTGACACAAACGTGTAAAAGCCATGTTCATATGACAGGATTGTCCAGATTTTGCATCCAAGTCTTTGACAAGAATAGCCAGGTTTGGGGGGGAAGAAGAGGGAAGGAGGAGAGAAGGGAAGATCATAAAAATTTCTCAGCTGATATTGCTAAAACGCTTGGAAACAGCCGCTAAGTCTTTCACTGCCTCCACCCTTCCCAGAAGTCTCATTGTGGTAAATAATGTTGCACTTATTTGAAAACTCAGGTTTCATAAGGCTGGCTGTGCCGGGGGAGCCGGCAGTGCAAGCAGCACTGAACATCTCTGCTCCTAAACGCTGAAACCCGGCGCTCATGCCCTTTTGGTTCCTGGGAGCATCTCCGTTTGCTTTCAGAAAGCGGCTCGAACTTCTGCCTCAAAGTTAAAGCATATCGTGACAGATACTCTAATCACAATGTCTAAATATAATGCAAGGGAAGGCAATTTAAGAGAGCCAAGCTACACTTTTTTAAGCAACTGTCGGGAAACTGCCTCTGTGGTTTGCTGCTTTAGAGTAAGATTAAATGAATCAGTCTCACCATTTGAATGCGTGGGAAGTCAGAGACAGCAAAGTGACAACTAAGGATGGTTTATTTATAATTGGGCCCTCCTTCTGTAGCTGTTTGTGCACAAGTCCTGTGCACCAAGTACAGAAGTACCTGCCCTTTATGCAAAATTACTCACAAATGCTACGTGTAGGTCAGTAGATGCCTACGCTGGTTTGGCTGATTACAAAGTTCATGTAATTATTATCGAACTGTCTAGTGATGTTTAGAAAAAGAATACAGCTTATTATGCAGCAGCTTCAGAGGCTCTGACTCCACGGTCCTCCAGCCAGGAGTCTTTCACAACAAGGAAGAGCCTGAGCTGGGCATTGCTTCCAGAATTCTGGAGGAATTATGTAGAGACTGGGGCACCCCCTTGTGCAGCAGCTTTGCAGCCAAGGGCAGGTCTGTGAGGGCTGGAGGGCAGAGGCAGCATTGTTGGAAGTTTTACTAGTGGGGACCTTTGATGCTTAAGCTGCAGTTCCCCATTCCTTGAGATAAAACACCTCTGAGTTTAACCCAAAGGTTTCCAAAACAAGACTTGCCAAAGACAGGCAGGAGTGCTGTAGCTGCAGATGCAATCACAAGCTTGGGATAAATTCAGTGGTTTATGGTACTGTTTGATTAACGAGCCCAACTGGAGCATCATTGCAAGGAGAAATAGGTTTTTCAAAGGAAAAATGTGGGTTTCTCATCTCCACCACCTCAGGATGTGGCCCTAACCTTTTGAAGTGTCATTCTGAGTAAGGAAAGGCAATATCAACAAATCTGAAATAAAGTTGCTGAGAGAAGGACCTGGGCGTGGCTGAGAGCAACATTGCTCTTTGCGTAGCCTCCAGGTGGGGAAGTCAATGGAGTGAAGCTGACCTCAAGCTTTTATTCCTCCCCACTTTGGCAGGCTTGGCCTTTAGTCTGTAGCATCAGCCTGCCCCCCTAACTAGGAAATATTATTAAAATGGCATTAAATATTAAGAGAGACAACACAGCATCTCTCGCAGTGAGGGAGCTCCTGACACAGCAATCTTTTCCTAATAAACCGCCTTGACAAACAGTTTACTTATGTTCTTATTTCAATTAGATGAACTACTCTGCAGTGGTAAGGGTGAGTGTGTCTGGGTGTTATTTTGAGAAGTAGTAAATATTTATTCGGCTCTCTCAGCACAGAAGTGGGTGGGCAGCAGGGTCCCAAGACAAGACCTGATCATCACAATTGTTAAAGCCACAGTCACAGGCTGCGGCTAACCAACAAGGAACAATGCTCTTGTGTGAACCCATCACCAATTGCTTAGCTATTACTATTGGTACAGCATTAACAGTGATGGACATCATGGTCAGGTTTGGCTCTTGTAGAGATCTGGGCTGGAGAAGGAGATAATGCCCATTAAGTAGTCAAATAAGTGTAAATACTAGGAGGGTTTCCCATCCCGCCAAGCTCAGTGCTGGGTTGTGGCAGGCACTGCATGTACCAAATATACTCCTTGGCCCACAGTGCCTAAACACACCAAGTCCCTGAACAGATCTGTGGTCAAGTCATGGACTCAGATCTCCAGGCTCCCAGCTGAGCGAGGGAGTGGTGCAAAGGCAGGAGTGGTGCTGGAAGACACTTGGAAATTTAATCTAAGCAAAGAAAATCTTCATCTCTGCTTTCTTGGAAACTTTGCCTGCAATTTCAAATATTTTCTGTTGACAGCATGAAAGTCGTGGAAGTAAACACGCATGCTTGTCTTTGAAAGACTGCTGGTCTGCTGGACGTTTTGGGAGGGGAGATAAAAATGTTTAACTTGGGAAAAGTAGTTGCTTTCCAGAAAATCCCTCAAAGCTCTACACAGCACATGGCTTGGAAGCCACGAGGTTTCTGTCAGCACATCTGCACTTATCCCTGAAGTATAGTATAGAAGATCAGCTTAGGCTAAGTGCCACAGAAAGTTTTATTACTTTAAAGTCACTGAGTTTGTTTTATAAGGCCTGACCAAAATTTTACCTCAGTCTGTATAATTTTTTTTTCCCATTTAATAAAATACCTTTATTTGAAAAGGTTGTTTCAGAGGCTGAAGAATAGATGGAAATCTCTTACCTTGTTGCTGAAGCCATGTCTGAGATGAAACATAGCTGTTCTGTGCTGGTAATGCCACGCAATGGGATTTTTTAAGGTGGAGAGTAGAGAATGGGATAAATAAAGCTGAGTGGCGAGGCAGGATATGTAAGTGGATCAGGCAGGTATTGCCCACTAGGAATTTGGCTTGTAAATCATCTGGTTAATAACTCCATAGAGTCTATAATGATAGTTGATGCCTCTTCAAAAAGTCAACACATTTTGCAGAACCTTAGTTCTCTATCCCTCATACATTCCTCTACAGCACTTTATACAGTGCTGTAGAATCACAATCTGCCTCATATGTACCTTTTTCTTTTCATACGTGTTGCCCTTTTAATCTGAAATAGTTTCCTCCTGTCCCTTTGACTGGTGTTCAGGAACAGATTTAAAATGGGCATTATATACAAAATTTCAGATCCAGAAGCAGAGAGTTCAGAGTGCAAGATAATTCCTCATGTGCATGTCTGCATCCATACAGAAATTATTTGGAGTCTGAAGAATGCGATTTAAAAGTCTGGGCCAAACTTTCCTTCTGAGTGGCTTTATTTAGAGATGCATATGTGTTCAGGGGCATCGTAGCATCCAGTACCAGTAGAGCCACACAAGCTGATAGGAATTGAGGATCTGCCCACAGGGCCCTGCTGATGCCAATGGCCACCAAAAAAAGTTGAGTTGATGCTGGAGACTGTCCTTCCCTTGGAAATAGCATTTCAAGTAAGGTAGAGTGTGTGAGTTGGAGTTTAGAGGATGCACTGGTAGTTTCACCAAAGGAAGCTGAGGAATTGCAAAGTGAAAACAGGGTAAAATTTAGAAAGAGATAATTTGAAAAATTTCCTCTTTAAAAATTGGAAAAAGTACTGGGGGGAAAAGAAGCATGGAAATATCTTTGTTACACCCTGGATTGTTTTTAGCAGGATATAAGGACTACATTTAATCTCTGTTGTGTAGAATGGGAAAAGTTTTTTCCTTGCTCTAATTGTGTCTCAATACAGCGTTTACCGGTGGAATAATTAACAAAGCCTGCATCACAAATGTGATGCTCTCAGGAGCTAGGTGCTGTTGTGCCCTTTCCCACTGCACCAGAGTTAGGAGGCTTTCTAGTGAGCAGGAGTCTCCCAGGAATTTCTGAGCACAGAAAATGCACAAGTGGGTGCTATTGGCAATTTTCACCATAAGGACTTTTTTTGGTGAGTTTTTCCTCCTTCCAGCCAAGGACAAAACTCTGACACTAGCCCACATTATTGTTTGAAGACAGATTGAAATCTTGTGATTCTGACATCGTTTTATTTTTAATTTCCACACTGCAAATGTCAGGGGAAAAAATACCCTAAAAATTATACTTCAGAAAAGACTATAATTACTTCCAATTAAATCATGGCCCTGGTTGTTTGAAAGACAACCACAGCTAGAATTTCATTATCTGATAAGCACTTTTTCTTAATATATTTCAAAGTTTCTTTTATTAATAATAATAAGAAAAGGATCCAAGACCCTGTGACAATACCTGAGCCAACTGCAAAAGCTCAACGATGGGAAACTGTGTTTAACCCCTCAAACAGAGAGGCCACATCATTTTTAGGGCATTTATTTCTGTGATACTCCTAATGCAGATGAAAGTTCAGAAATGTGATCATCATATGTGGTGGTAGGCCTGGCTGAGGTGACCCAGATCTCTGCCTTCCCCAGGGCACTAATCAGGCTGCGTGCTTTCATCGCACCTTTCTGCCATCCGTGGTACCTGAAGCGTTTCACAACATCTGTCCATTGCCACACTCCTGTCTATATCGGGGTACATCTGCTGAAGCCACTGAGGCTTTATCAGCATCATCTGGTTTCATAGTGGGAATTAAGTCTTATCCCCCTGTATGTCTGCATCGTAAATCCATTTGTTACCCCCTGAAAGAGGCATTTACATCACACGAACTGCACTGAGGATGCCACTGATGTTCAGACTGAGTAAAAATATCTGAGTTCTTACAGAGTCCAACTCGATGGTGCACGGGATAATTTTGTTGGAGGTTTTTGTGGTCTTATTTTGAACTTCAGCTATGACTGAGCCATCAGTCCTCAACCCCACTCAAGTATACAGCATATTTTCGCTGACTGTTTTCTGATGTGCTCAGGAGTCTGTCTGTATCATCTGCCACGCTGAAGAGGGACACATGGGCTTGAGGGAAGGGGCTTCCACAAAACACCTGCCTGCAAAAAGACTTGTGTGTGAAGGGATGGGTCATACTAAAGGGAGTAGAGTCTAGCAACAGAGCAGCAACAGGGTGTAAAGTCAGTTAAAATTATAGTCCCCTTCCCTTAGCATCCCAGACAGCCATTACCACAAGTGTTTGAGTTGTTAGGACCCAAAATCCCTGTCACAAGGGACAGGATTTTCTCCAGGTGAGGAAATCTCTGCAGAGGCAGCCTATAATGAGTGTTTGCTAATGATGATCCTTGTGGGTCACTTCCAACTCAGAATATTCTGTGATACTGTGATTATCAGTGATGTAAGGCTGGGAATGGACATACCATAGCAAACTGCCTGGGCATCCACAACTTGTACACAGGACAGACACTCCTGCTATCCACGGAAAAATCCTCCCCCAAATATTCCACATCACAGTGGCTAGTCTCTGAGCTGGTCTTATTAAGTGGAAAGAAATTAAAAATTGCAATTGACTCACCAGTAAAAATATGTGAGTGTACTCAGCAAATAAAGTAGATTCCCTGAGCACTTACCTAATAATTTTACTTTTAATTAAACTGTCCATTCCCTCACTGATTTACATTTAAAAAGAAAACATCTGTGTGTATTTCACTGGGAAACCTTCCCCTGGTGTTTTAAGAAAATATTTTCTTTTGCTTAACGCAAAATATTTGGGACCTGATCCTTACTAACAATATGCTGCCTTCCAGCTCCACCACAGGTATAAAAGGCAAATAGGTATAAAAGGTTGTCACTGAACGGGATGTGCTCACCTTGTGTGATTACAGCCTTTCTCTCCTGTTTTTTCTTTGGGTTTTTTTGGTTTGTTATGTTATTATTTTCTTAATGTACCTTACAGTCTTTTATTAATACATTCTTAGGCTCAATCTTTCCAAAGAAACAAATGCAGTGGATGATTAACCAAGAAAGCTGGAGCCACAAACCCCCTCAGCTTTCTTTGAGGGAAAGAGGAAGACATTGCATCTCAGCAGCAGGCACCTCTGCAAATGCCCCTGCCATGCTCTTGGCACAGCTAGGGCTTGGTGGAGGTACCAGAGAAGAGGAGGCAATGCCACCATGGTGTTTCTGGCTCTGAGAGACCAAAGGGCACCCTGTGTCCATTCACACAACCCCCCTAAAATGGGAATGAATGTTTTAAAACTCACCTGCCTTCCTTCTTATATCTTGACTTACAAAATTTGTATTAATTTCTAAGAGAAAAGAAAGAGAAGCCCAAACTCTCACATTTCCAGCAAAAAACAGCAACCTCTTCTACTCCCACTGCAGTTAAGTATAGGCTGAGGTTGTTACCAGCAGTCCCCTGAGACACCAGTCAAACCCCATGTGCCTTTCTGGAGAAGTGAGTTACATGCTAAGACCACCAAGATTTGTGTATGGGGAGCAGAAATGGACCCCCTTGAGTGCCCGCCCAGGGCTGTTAAAAGGCCACCTCTCCTTGCCCTGGCTTAGTATCTGCCATCACCACCCCATAGCCATCGTAGACATAGGTGGGGATGCTGCGACCTTGGTGGTACATGATACTCCGTGACACGGCTGAGCGTGCCATGTACTTGCACTCAGACCCCGGCTGTGTTTATAGGAGACCCAAATATGCAAATGGAGAAATGAAAAATCTTAAGATGAGACATTAATATATGCTTCTCCGGTGCTGGTTTGCCATCCTCTCCTGAGTGAAGAGGCCAAAGAGAAGAAGTAGTCTGTTGAGGTGGGAAAGTCTCTCAGGATTCAAAATTTTAGTGACACCTCCTGCAGTCTCAGGCCTGCAGAGAGTGGACCATGATCTCTCCAGCAGAACGGCCTTGTCCCAGGACTGTTGCAGCTGCGCTGCCAACAACTGGCTCCTGACAGGTATGTCCACACCACGGTTTTGTCTCTAGCTCAGGGGCCTAAGGTGTAACATCCTTGCATGGATGCTCAGTTTTGGAGAGAATGGAAAGAAGGTTGTAGGCTCAGAGTTGGGCTGCCTCCACAGTGCATCCTCATCTGTGCACAGAAATGGGGATTGTGCCCAGCAAGGGATTGTGCACCTTGGATCCAGTCATACGCCCTAAGTCCTCTTTGAAGGAGACTCTCTGGCAGAGGCCCGTGTGTGAGCTGGGAAGGAAGGCTGTGCCTAGCAGGGCAAATCCTTGCTCCCTCTGCGTACCCACAAACCGCCAGCTTCCTCTGCGCACCAGGTTTTCGCAGCCAGTCTGGGCCGAGGTCAGGACCTGTTGGGGCTGGTTTTTGTTTACCGAATATGCTGTGGCCTCATTTGGCAACAACATTTAAAAACATGTAAGATCAGAACAGTCCTTGTTGGTGAAAATTTCCCTATTAGTTTTCCTATCTTTGGATCCATTATCAGCAGATGAGAATCTGTAATGTCCTTGGCGATACTGAACCTGAGAGGCAATCAGGAATTGTCGTCCTAGACCAGCCAAGTAGTCCATCAAGTTCATCACCTTTCCCCTAAAAGAAGCAGAATAACCTGTGCTTTGAAGGCAACAGCTTTAGCATTTGCCTATGTTACACGCAGGTTTGGTTGCTCCTGCATCCCTCTTGGTGCTCTACCCACCAGCCACAGGGCCAGGGACGCCACTTTCATGTCCAGGCCACACGCAGTGAGTTCTGCAGACTCCTCTGTCGACCTCTTCCTCTTTTCTTCTGGCAAAAGGGGTGAGGAGTGAGTTTGGTTTATGTTTTTAGTTCCTATGCCATGCCAGCTTTGATGGACATGGAGTTAATGCAGACCCTAAGGGCTATGGGATAGCTCAGAAACAGAGGGAAAAAACCCTATCAGTGCAGTTTCACATAGCAGAGGCTGGTACCCCCGCCCCCATTCTGCAGCCAAGGAGAGTAAGGATGATGTGACTAACCTGGAGCTATGCTGCAGCACAATGCAATGGCAAGAAGTGAAGCTGGCTCCTATAGCAGCCTGCTCCTCTGGTTTTGTTCGCTGCTTTTCTCCGGCACTTCTCTGTGGCTCTGAGACAGGGCTCCATGGCTGCTGCTCTGATGGAGGGCAAGGAGGCAGGCTGGGCTCAGAAGCGTTAGTAGTCTTGGAAAGCAGATCATGTTCTCCATCATAAAGAAGAGAGTGGTACAGAATTATAATGACCAGAAACACGTTTCAAGAAAATATTGGATTTTCTACTCATGGCTAGAGCCGAACCCTGAGGGTTACCATGGCTGAATAAAAGAGGGGCGGGAAGCAAGTTCAAGTACTGTGCCCGTGTCCATCCGCACGCTTGCCCTCCACCTCTGGCCTGGACTTCCCCAGTGGTCCAGCTGGAGACAGCACCATTTCTTTCCAAGATTTGACCGTGGTTGGTCTCGGGATCACTCTCAAAATGAAGCAGGGATGAGACAGGAGCAGGTTTTGCTCCCTCTGCTGTACATAGTCTTCCAATGCCATCCCAGCCTACTTGGAGCTCTCAATCACCTCCACCAGTCCTGCATGGCACTCCTCGACACATTTAACACATATCCTCAGCTTCATGCAGTAAACAGAATGCTAATGGGCCATGAGACAGCTCTCCTGTAGTTTCAGGCATTTTTCAGTGGAGGGAGAAAAATCATGCAAAACACTGAAAATACCTTGCTAACAAGAGGGCCCACGGGAGCCTGGGAATCACATCCTCCACAGCGCAGCATGGCCATCCTGCTCCATCGGCTGGGTCACCACGCATTGCTCCCTGGCCTGCTTTTATCTGCCAGCGTAGGCACCCGCAGCACCCCGAGATGAGGGGCCAGGCTGGCAGGAGCACTTGGCTCTCACTGAAATCCACAAGTAAAAGTTACCTCTTGCCTCCTCCTTGAGACATCAATGGGAGTAGCCGGGTGTTGAGCAGTGCTGCGATCAAATACTGCGGTGGGAGAGGTCTGAGCAAGAGGCAGCGTTTTTGGGGACCAGCAATAACTGCAGGCACAGAGAGAGTATGTCTTCACTGGTCCAGTCCCAGACTACTCATCTGCAAGGAGCTCCAGGCAGACAGATCCAGACGGCAGTTAATGCAGGATCACAGCCCGAGGTTTTGTTTCCACCTTTGCCAGAGGCTTTGCATGAGTCTCAGCTTCCTTTGCCCTCCTAATGGGTACCTGATGATTGACCTTCCTTTGTAAAGCTCCTGTCAGGCAGTGGGGGCTCCTGTAGCTTCACCTACTGCTTTCCTGTATGCACTGACAAAAATGATGTTGGTCGGGTTGGTGATTCTACAGCACGAGCTCAACCGGAGAGACGGATCATTTAAAATAAAAAAAAAAGCTGGGGGGGGGGGAGGGGAGGGAGAGAATAGGCTGTCAATCTTACTTAGTAAACACTTCTTTGATGTGGTTCCTTTTTTTTTAAAAAAAAAAAAAAACAACCAAAAACACAACCTGAATCCTAAAAGCAACAACGTATGTTTATTTTAAATGCATCCGCTAAATATTTACACTGCAAGTAAGCTAAACGAAAAAAAAAAAAAGATAAATTGGAACTTTTGTCAGTGAACCAGATTGTGAAATGCCTTGAGGGAATAGAAGATTTATTTGGGGAGAGGGGGAGAGGTAGGAATTTTCCATGCTATTGTAAAACATGAGCTCAAATTATATGATCCCCACAGCCAGTCAGTTACAAAGCTTCAATCAGCTGCCTTTTTATTTTTTTTCCCCTTCCTCTCTTTTCTATAAAGAGGAGGGGGGGGGAAGACAGAAGAGTTTCACCAACTTCTGTTGACTGTTCCTTTTTTCTCCTGATTGAAATGTGTTGTTAAACAAGATCCCACATAATCTCAGCAGAGGGTTTCTCTCGCTCGCTCCCGCTCCTTCTGGGAAGCCGCGATCGGTGCCATCGGCACTTGATTATTTGCAAACTCCCTTCGCTGCTTTTTTTTTTCTCCTTTTTTTTTTTTTTTCCGCCTCTCCGTCTCGGTCTCCGTCTCCCTCTCTCTCCCTCCGTCTCTCTCTCTCCCTTTCTCTCACCCCCAGTGCAACTTTTGCAGGCGCCCCGGCACACGCAGCCATGCCGCGCTGAGAGCGGGGGCACCGCGCCAGCCCCCCTCCTTCCCTCCCTCCCTCTCCTTTCCTCCCTCCCTCTCTCCTTCCCTCCCTCCCTCTCTCCCTCCCTCCCTCCCCAGCGCCGCCGTCCCGAGCCGGGGGGGCCCCGCCG